ATGTCGTGCAGCTGCCAGGCGGCTTCCAGGGAGTTTCGACAGGCTTTCTTGTTCAGCGGTGTATTTGGGTTCCTCTTTCTGCAGGCATTCAGCATGGGATGCTCGGGTGCTCCGATGACGATGCAGTCCAAAAGGAGCGCCCTGAACCACAGCTCTCCTTACCTTGCCAGTCCCTTACCCCCTTTAAGCCATTCCTTCAAGTGGCCCAGCCCCGGAGGTCAAGAGGAGCTTTCTTCGACAAAATTAGCCGTCTCTATGCGCGAAATGTGTTCTCACAGGGTCTCCTGCACAAATCTGCACAACCACATCCCGAAGCCTGTACCTTTTTGCGTTGCGCTGTCAAACTCAAGAGTGTGCGTCTGTAGAAGTCATGCTCCAAGGGACGTAGGCACTCTTCAGTCAATGGCTCTCTTCAGTCATGCCACGAGCAGCATGGGCACAGGTCCCAAAACATCTGATTGCCTGTGGTGGTGGAAACAGGCACCAATTGGCTTGCGGCCTCAACAAGAGGAGCACTTCCTTGAATGCTCACTGAAGGAGCGAACCCATCTTGCTGGGGAGCTCTCTGCTGTGTCTGGGATTTTTCCACCCTGGGTATACTGCTACCATGGTGTCAGACTCCTGCTGTACGCTGGCTCCTGCAGCTTGCATGCGTTTTACGCCGTAGCGTGCTGCGGCTCAACGGCACGAGGCCTGTTGTCGGCCTTTGCACGAGCGACGTTATGGACTGCACTGCTGGAGATCTGTGGCTTCTGCAACATGACTGGGCCCCTCGGCAGAGGTCAGGGGTGCCTGGAGCCTCTCTGGCATCGGCTGACAGCTGGTACATTGAAGCAGCCGCTGCTGCCATACCTGCCACGCAAACGTGGGCTGGCTGACCAGCTGCTGTTCGTGCTCTACCTTGGCAGCGCCAGCTGTTTCTTGGCTTCCTCACGCGCATTGGACGAGAGTCTTGTCGAGCTGCGCTTGACCTTGCTGCTGCTGATGCTGCTTTGCCTGGTCGACAGGACAGCCTACACCGGGTCCTGTGGTGCGTACTATTTCCCCTTGCTGTTTTGTCTCGCTGCTGGCGGAGAAGCCTCAGGGGCTGCTGGTTGCCAGCTCGTCCAGCTCGCCCACCTGTTCATGCCGGGTGTGGCCAAGATGGGACCATGGTTTCCGCACGTCCTGCCAAGCATGGTTGGCATTTGCCCCTTTCTGCCTCATTTCCTAAAGGAGAACATGTTCAAGCGTGACAGTGGAGGACAGTTGCAGTTGTTGCGGCCCTCTCTTGTTGCTGACATTGCTTCTGCGTGCGTCGTCTTCTTGGAGATTGTTTGCCCAGTACTGCTTGTGTGTCCCTGGGAGAGGCTGCAGGTAACGGGTGTGGTGCTGGCTGTGTTCGTACATCTCAGCATTGTCTTCCTGATGCCGCCGGGCGCTGTTGGCGAGTGGAATCTCTTCAATGCAGCTAGCACTGTATATCTCTTTGGCATGGTAGGCAGCATGCAGCCCAGTACGTTTGCGTCCCCTTTTGTGATTGTCGTCGTGCTGACGGTATTTGGCGGCCCTCTCCTAGCGAACTTGAGGCCGGATGCAGTCGGCAACCATTTCGCATTGCGGAAGTACACTGGTAACCACCCGTACCACGCATTCTTAATTCGCCGATCGGCAGTGCACAAGATGCACAGCTTCAAGACGTTTGCGCCACTCGTTGCAGGTCCGCCATCCGCGCATGCGGAGCTGCTGACCCGTGCTGCTCTTCACTCGTTAATTCGCGGCAGACTGAACCTCAGACGAGCCCTCGACATTCTGGTCGCGGCGCTTCCTTCCGACAGCTCAGACAACGGCCGACTTGATGGTGTCGTGTGGTTTGACCTCGGCTTCCTTTTGTCGCAGACATTGCTGGACGTTTCCTTCTTGGATGAGGGCCTCTTGACCGAACTGCGCCAGACGGGCTTCGGTCCCCGTGAGCTGTATTCCTTCCGAATCTCCTCCTTCCCAACCTTCATGGCATGGCCGCACCGGGCACCATGGGAGCTTTTGGATGTTGGCGCGGGCCTAAAGGTGGCCTCTGGCCACGTAAGTGCAGATGAGACATTTGCCTTCGACACCGGCGCCAGCATGCCCCTGCTGTCAGAGCTGCAGCAGGACGCACTGCAGCCTGCCGCCAAGTCATCAGTCCATGCTTAGATGTGCCTCAACCTCTGAACCCGTCAACCTGTGGGGTTGAGGGTGGAGAGCTTCTCTGGGCGTGTTGCACAGGACAGACGAATTCTTGCCGTTGCTCTTGTTGTTGTCCTTGTACTTGCTATTTCAATCATGATTATGTTGATCATGATTCTTATGCAGGTTCGCATGTAATGTGGTCACGTATACACAGATGTTTTTGAATTCCGTGTTCGTGTTCCAGTGCGCGTAACGTAACTTAACAGCTTTGGCTTCCTGCAGTCTCAGGAGTAGCAACATGCCACAGCGCATAGGCCGCCTGCCAGAATGCCCTGAATTCCTAGCAGCTTGACTTCTGTAGCCGCTGTAGCCGTCAGCCTTCCCACCCTGCAAAGGTGGGGCGAACCCGGTGGCGATTGCGCGGCAACGCTTTGGCTACACCGGGTGCCTCGGACACATCAGACCTGGGAGTCTGGGCCCGCCTGATTCCAGTGCCCCCTTAAACCACAGGCTCATCTGCTCGATCGATCCCAATACACCTACAAAGCCTACACTGAGCCTTCGAGGCGGCTGCCCGCGCCGGAAGCCATCCGAACGCGACGCTCAGAGATCGCGTCGCAGCTGACCCGGGCGCTCAGTGAAGGCTTTGCAGCGGGTTGGCAAGGGGATGGATTGTGAGAAGATGCAATGCAAAGCATGCAGCTGTTTCGCGTGTGACTTGGGGTTCTCAGCTGAGAGTTTCATGCGAGGCACAGGGTTTGAATCAGCCGCTTGCTTCTGCCAAAGCACCGAAGCGCTCGGCATAAGGTTGCTACAGCAACTCACCCCCCTGAGATCTATCTTGAGCTTGGAAGTTGCAGTTGTGGCTTCGCATGCTGCCATCACATATACGTGTCTCCGAATATCCGAAAGTCTTTCAAGCAATGTAGGACCGGCTCAGGGTTTCGGGTTTAGGTTTTAGGGTTTAGGGTTTAGGGACCTTGTAGGAGCAATTCTTTTGATCAGAACTGAAATCTGATGGAAGTCCGATTCCCACAAGAGCCATCAAGCCTCAGCACCAACATTCAAGATTGCTGCAGGATAAAGCAGCCGAGTTCCTTCCTCCGTAAACCCTATATGCGCAAGAATGACAAAGCTGGGCCAAGCAAACCTGCACCAGAAGGAAGGGTAACAGCGAAGCGCCAGAAAAGCGATCGCAATTCCAAGTAAGTGTAGGAGTTGCTGCATTCCTCCTAACATGAATCCAAGAGCCGAACGCTTAGAACATCTGCTCGCAGTAGAGAGAAAGAAGAAACACTGTTCGAAAGATAGACAGAAAGAAAGATATAAATACACAAAAAAGAAAGAGAGAGAAAGAGACTGAAAGAGAGAAAGACACAAAGAGAGAAAGAGAGACAGAGACACGCCTCCATGCATATGTATCACACAAACCGGACCACAGACTGCACGCCCGGTTGGGCGGCCCCTTCGGGGGTCAAGTGCGACGGAAGGAAGGAAGACAGAGACACAGCCCGAAAGGACAAGCGAGGAAAAGAGAAGAGTGACAACATGATAACACAAGAACAACATCTTACTTAGCAAATAGTTGAACTTTAAAGTCTCTTGGGTTTCCTTATAATAGGAATAATGAAGTTTAACCTTTTTGATTCCTTGGTTATTGGAGAAGTAAGAAAAACACATAAACATATAGATAATTGGCTGGTTCTTAGTAATGTTGACTTCACATTAATGATTCCCGCTACAATTATAAAATCCAGCTGCCGGAACACAATAATGTAACCCCCCACAATTATAAAATCCAGCCCGGAATATTTTTTACGACTACTACGGCTACTATTAGTAGGGGTAGGCCCTAATACTAAAAGTAATAGTACGTCCTACCAGGATTTAGGCGAATATAATTGAGGAGGCCCTGGCCGGAGAGATTGATCAATCAAGGGGGGGGGGTTTATTAATGCGAAGTCAACATTAGGGAATAAGGGAATGAGGTACCCTATACAATCCCTGAAGCCCTACTTCCCTCATGCCCTACTAAGAACCAGGGAGATAAGATAGACAGAACGCCGAATCTGTGGAGCTCAGCGGAGTTTGCTCCCATGATGCGCCCCTAAACCCTATAAACCCTAAACCCTAAACCCCAAACCCCACTAAACCCTAACCCCTAAACCCTAAACCCTAAACTCCCAAGTCCATTCATTAATCATGTAGGGCGCCCGAATCACCCCAAAGGCCAGGCGGCCCTCGAGCGCCAGCGCCAGAGCCAACAAGCTCAGCTACTGGAGTTGCACAAGCAGCTGCTTGTCCTGGTTTATTTAGGGTTTAGGGTTTAGGGTTGTGTTTTTGGGGGAGGGGGGCTGGGATGTTCCCCCTTCTCAATACGCATTGAAGTATCCCCCATTATAGTCCCCATTAAGGACTGTTAGTATAAGGGAAACCATCCAGAGGGGGGGGGTTTAGGGTTTGGGCCGTTGGCTTGGCCGTTCCCTGGAAAGGGCTTGTGCTCATATCTGCTTTTGGGTCTGCAAAGGCTGGAGTAGAGGTTTCTACTTGGGAAGGAATGGGCTTTAGGCGACTTTGGTCTTCTGGTCTGCGGCTGAAGGCGGCAGCCCCCTGACTGAAGAAGGCCCAACCTCGAAGGAAAAGAACCGTTCCAAGCGTTGACGAGGCAGAAGACGCGGTTTCTCCTGGCGCTCGATGCCCAGGCCATGGACTGTTCTCTCCCGGCTTTCTGTGCAACGGCCAGCTTTCAGGCATGGTGGTTCGGAGAATCCGGTTCTCCAGGAAGGGTGTCCTTAAGGCCTTAAGGCCTTAAGGCCTTAGGCCTTAAGGCCTTGTGGGCGTCAAGTGGGTCTGCCTGTCGTCGGCTAAACCCCGCAATCATTTGAGGGGGCTCCAGGTCCCCAGAAGATCCCAGCAGTAGTGTCGTTGCTGGCTCCCGGGTTTCTGCAGCGCGCAAGGGATCTTGAGAGCTCTGGCAGGGCTCCGCAGCACCTCTCCCTCAGCATGCCGTGGTAAAGTTGTAGCTGAGTCGACTGAATCCTGCTCAGCCCCCCAGTCCAGCACGAGGTGAAAGCAGATGAGTATGCCCTGAGCAAGGAGCAGAGTGTGGAGCTAGCTGGGCAAGCGCTTGAGGACTCCGTCTAAGCACTTGTTGCTACACCTGCACCTTTGTCCAGGAGCACAATGAGCAGCTCATGCGGCTTCAGCAGGACGACCGAACCCCAACACATTGCGAATTTGGGGGCTTGTAGGTTTTTTCCGGCTCTCGAAACTCGATTTGTGGCCTTTTGATCAACCTTTGACGGGATTAGTTCTCGCCGCCAAGATTCATCATGTTCTCAGCCAACGCATGGACGGCAGACGAAGAGAACGCAAAGAAGATTCGACCTTTCACCTTCGTCCCTGTCGGCAAGCTAAGTTGTGAAGCCTTGAATGTTCCCATCCTGAAGAGGAAGCGCAGCACAAACGTGCTCAGCTAGAGCAGCAGGTGTGCCCGTGGGGTGATGGTCGGGTTGAGAGGGGTCAACGGGATTTGAGGTGCGGCTTGTGGCAAGCTCCAACCCTCGACCTTTAAAAGGGCACAAGGGTGCGTCCGTGCCAGCCTTACAGCCAAACCTTGGTCTCCGTTGTCCCCGGACAGGTGCCCCAAAGCCAAAAACCCAAAACCCAAAACCCTGAACCCCAAACCCCAAACCCCAAACCCCAAACCCCAAACCCCAAACCCCAAACCCTAAACCCTAAACCCTAAACCCCAAACCCTAAACCCTAAACCCTAAACCCTACACCCCTGAATCCTTCAAATGCCTGGGGGCAGGCCACGAGCCTCGTGCTCGAGTTCCAGCAGCGTCGCGGGCCTATGGGGGAGTGGCAGTTGAGTAGCGACTCAGGTGGCTCCAGGGCTCTGAGACTTCGGTAACTCATGTCAGTTTGTTTCGGTTGTGGCTGTGTCATGGTTCAGATGGCTACTTACTTTGAGCTGCAGAGCATCAAGGACGATACTGACATGCGGCCAAGAATCGACAATCGGGTGGCATGGGGGTTCGCATGGTTCAGGCATGGATGCACTGGGGAACGGGCACCGCGGAACGTGAAGAAGCGGCACCCTGGTTTCGGGGAAGGGTTCCGAATATCTCTACGGTTCAAGAACAGGTCTCACCTCAGAACTCTTGCGTAAGACTTGGACTGCACAGTAACATGATCCTGAGCCCCAATGAAGCGACCGAGGCAAACTGGAGGAGGAGTTCTACATCCAGCAGCGCGACATCCATCGCCAGCACGAGGAAGTGCAGAGCAGGCCTCAGGGAATCGACTGCAGAAGTTTGGAGCTTGCCTCAATGGAATCTGATCCAACCTCCATGATGACCATGTGAGGAAAAGCGATGAAGTCAGCTTCATAGGGGCGCGCGCTGCTGCTAACGCCCTTTTTCAACATCAAGCGCAAGTACTAAGTGCAGTCGACCACATCTTGACTTCACAATTGTCCCAAGCCACCTGCAGCACCAAACTCAACTTGCCCTAAAGCCCGAGCATGTCAGTGCGCAGGCTGGCAGCCGAGCTGCGCAAGCTCTTTGAGCCCTCAGGTGCTTCCTCGGCATCCTGGATGATGAAGTGCTCCATAAGTGCTACACTCTTTTCTACTCTACGTGTGGCATCTCTGCAAAAGAACGAAGCAGGAGATTTTGGGCTTTTCGTTGTGCACACGTTGCGCGTTGTGTGAAGATAGGGGCATGTAGGGGGTGCTGGGAAGGGGAAGAAGTCGCCCGTCCAGGTGCACCTGGTGGCGACGCATGTTGGGCAGCGCCCATGTCAGCGCCCACGCTTGCGCCCGCGCCCACGCTTGCGCCCGCGCCCGGGCCCGGCGCTCGGAGGTCCCAATGCGGACCTTAGCCTGAAGGAACTCACATCAAATGGCTCCACGTGGCCTCTGCCTACCAAGGCCTCGCCCTACTGGCTATCCGCTGGCGCGTGTCCAGTCAGAGGTGCTGGTGGCTGTAAGGGCCGCTGTTCGCTTTTCAAATTTACATACGAACTCCATGAACCTTAAACCCATCAAAGTCACTTGCAGGGACCCAGACGCATCAGCTCCTTTCTGCCCATGGCCCGGCCGCTCTCCGCAGGAACGAGCTGGGAACCCAGTTCAGATGGTTGGGGTGCATCCTGCCTTCAGGGCCTTCAGCTGTTTCAGGCTCCTCCCTTCTCAATCTCGGACATCGTAGGAATTCGCAGTTCCAGGGTGTTGCTGACATCTTCTCTAGTGTGTAGCGCCGCTGACTCCACCATAGGGCCTGAGCACAGCTACGGTTATCGATATCCTGCGGCTGACATGGTTTCCAGCATCCTAGGAGAGGGCTTCACTGAAGATGCAGTTGACACTAAATTCGCGGCCGCCGTCGCCGCTGCTGTAACCAGACGTGACAAGTCGTCGATTCACCCTTATGCCCCGAAGCAGTAATCCTTGAGGACCGGGTTAATATTCACATCCCTCGTGTTGCGATGGCCTCGAAGGCACCCAAATCTCGCAGTCGCAGAGCCTAGCGGCCTCGACCCACGCGGCACTCTGCTAGGGCAGGAGGCCATTGCAAACCAGCAGTGCGCATCCATCAACCCAGCGCCCAGCATGAAGATCCAAGTCTTTGAGACTGGGCGTCCACACCTGTTCTATCAAGCCGCATCGGCCTGAGAGCCCTGCATACGGCAAATCCGACTCCGATGGCCCGAAACCATATCCCTAACCTAAACCCTAAACCCAAAACCCAAAACCCTAAACCACCCTAAACCACCCTAAACCACCCTAAACCACCCTAAACCACCCTAAACCACCTAAACCAGCCTAAACCACCCTAATCCACCCTAAACCAGCCTGAACCAGCCTGAACCAGCCTAAACCACCCTAAACCACCCTAAACCACCCTAAACCCTAAACCCTCAACCCTAAACCATAGACCCTAGACCCTAAACCCTGAACCCTGAACCCTAGACCCTAGACCCTAAACCCTAAACCCTATCATCCTCCAAACAAAGCAAGGTATGCAGCTCCCTGTCGGCACCCAGGCAGCCCTACGGAGGCCCGGAATCGCACGAATTGGGCTTGTGGCTTCGGGCCCCTAGGATTTCTCGGTTTTCGGGTCAAGGGTCGAAAAACAACGTAACTGTTCTCCGCATTGTGCATTTTTAGGTGGTTGGACCGTTTGGAATTGAGGGTTTAGGCCTCAGCCAATTTTCTTCAAGCTTGCCGGGTCGTGATTTCGAACCGATCGCAAAGTGTAGGGACTTGACTTGTGGCTGCGCAGGATCTTATGTGCATTGAGTACTTCTGGAGGGTCGCGGGACCTAGCAAGTAGATAGTAAGTAGACTTATACCTACCCTAAAAGGGACATATGAATTGGAGCTATTCTACTTATGACTCTATTAGATAACTACCTACTACAGTAGGCCCTCCGACCCTCCAAGTATGGAGTGTCCCCTGACCTGCATAGGTCTGTCTCCTGCGCGGGCACTGTGAGATCCGAGGCAGTTGTTTTCTGCACATGCATTGCCCACGTGCTCTTGTTTGGTTTTTCTGGTATGCTTCGGTTCATGTTACATTGAAGCCCCGGGCCTTGCTGCGGAGAGTGCTTCGGATTTTCTTGTCTTTTTGTGGGGATCCCTAAATTTTAAAGCTGAGGAACTGCAAAGCTTGAAGTCTAATGCCTAAAGGGCCTAAAGAGGGGCGCAGGGCCTAAGCCGATGGCTTTGTGTTGCGATGCCCGGAAACATCTTTAGCAGCCCCATTGCAGCCCTGCAAGGCCTCGTTTGCCACTCTTCAGCCGGGAATGCTGGCAAAGCCCACAGCATTGACCTCGCCGCGACATACTCTGCGTTAGTGGTGCAAAAGAAGTCCAGGCGCATGTTGCAGCACGAGTGACCTGGTTTGTGGTTTGAAACGGCTTGAGCCACATTCAGATGCACCTTGTCGGCGGACAGAGTTCCAGCAACAGCTGTAGCGTCATCTTGCCAGGGTGCATGGTGCGTCTGAGTTTGAAGGATCGTTGATGATCGTTGCGCTTGGTACCGCATACGTCGGTAATCAATTTGCCTTGAGTTTTGGTGGTATATCTCTCACATCCATCTTGCATGTGTCGAGGATCGATCCGCCTGCCTTGGGATGTGTGGTGGTAAGTCTCCCGCTTCGTACGTGTGCCTGCAGCATGGCAACTTCCTGTGTGCGCAGCCGTAGCCCAGAATTCGCAACCTGCATCGATTGTAGCCGCCATCCAACGAGGACTCATCCAGTCTTGCAAGTTGTGCATAATCTAGTGCCCCACAAATGCGTCAGCCATCATCAGTTTCCCGGAGGGGAAGGTGCCTGGTAGCAAAAAGTCGCCGTCATCTCTTCAGACCCTACGGGCACGTTGCCGGCCGGCGGCCTTGCATGTCCTGGACAGACCGCGACTCGCGCTGGCGGGAGCCGACTTGCCATCCCTCAATCAGTACAGAACTGGTTTTGACATGTCCTGCGGATCCTACGGTGCAAGTTCGGGAAGAAGACTCCTCAGGAGACTTAGCGAGAGGAGTGGCCATAAATGTTGTTGCTTGAACTCTCCACGACTCTCCACCCTTGTCTCATGTTTTTCGTTAGGAGGTGCACCGCTTCAAGCCTCGATGTTCCTGGGACCCCGTTTTCTCCAAGTACATCGTGGTACAAGCCTGAGCCCTCGTGGACGCAGGCGGCCGATCGGACAGGGCCAGCAGCTCAGATCTCCAGGGTAGCCCAGTGATGTGTTCGCAAGGAGTTTGTAAGCACGCTGGGTGTTTCGAAAAGTAGAAATAGTACTCCCAACCCAATTGCAGTTCACCGCCAGGTACCATTGTCACGGGAACTGGCCTGCAACTTGCACCGCAGGGAGTTTGGCCAGATGCTCAGTGTCCGGGGTTTGGTGTGGCAAAAACTTAAGTCAGATTGACGTGCCCTGAGACCGTTGTAATTTGTCTGCAGTTCCTGAAGGAGTTCCTATCACAGCCACCAAACCAAAAGAAAATCCTAAGCCTCATCTGACCTGTAGACGTAAACCCTAACCCCAACCCCAAAATCTCCCGAGCCAGGGTTCCTCAAGATCGGTGTGTTGCATTCTCACAAGGAAGAAAATTCTCCGCCCGGCCATCCCACTTTGCAGCGAGGAAGACTACAGGAGATTCGCTTCAGAATGCGTGGGGCTCTTGGGTTTTTTGGGCGTTAATGCGGGAGCCTGATAATTTCCAATTCAAGATCAAGAGCCGTGTATAGTGATGATGAGAAACCACCCCCACGGCAAGGACCCTTTCGTCATCCCCGGCGGTGCTGGTCGGATCAGCCGCAGCCCGGATGCTATTATGATCATGATGACATGTGTTGATATAGGCTTTTATGCAGCAGAAGTCAGTCCCTGTTAGCTCTAGCGGCCGTGCTAGCTCTGCAGTATGATTTGGTACGCGTATGGGCGGCGGGCTCTCTACCTGAAGAACATGTCTCAACATGCCTCAACTGGCATCAGCGAGCCCCGAACAACCTACACCCTACTCCCTGTCTCAACTTGGCATCAACGAGCCCCGAACAACCTACACCTTACTCCCTGAAACTCTAATCAGAAAACCCCTAAACCCTAAACCCTAAACCCTAAACCCTAAACCCTAAACCCTAAACCCTAAACCCCTAAACCCTAAACCCTAAACCCCAAACCCTAAACCCTAAACAGCTTTCAAAGTATCAAGAGTGACCAGAGAGGTGCCACCATCTCGACTCACAGTCGGACGAGCATCACCGGGTCTTGGCCTCTGTTTTCGGCACGCTGGGAGTTTGCTCTTCGACATCCTAAGCCCGAAGGGCCAAGATCTGACCTTAAACCCGAAACCCCAGAACCCTGACATGGAACTCCTCTGAAATTTGGAGCGCATTCCAGGTGCGGATGCGGACAGCCCTCCCGCCACAAATCCGTCGCCTGCACCTCAGCACAGCTCCTAGGGCCACATCCTCGAATTCGACACCCCAACCCTGCTGCACCTGCAGCTCCTCCCCCGGCACATGACGCCCAGGGTTCCCCACAGACGCCTCCGGAGTGTTCACGTCTCAGAATCTGCGAATCTTGAGTTGAGGCTTCAGGCGCCCTTGTTCGTTTTTTGCGGGGTTTCGAGGAAGTAGTGTCAATGCTGCCAATGCTTGGCAGCCGGAATATCCTACCACATCGTTCAAAACTCAAGGTTGGGCCACGAGTTTTGCTGCTGAAAGCTGTTGGAGTCATTTTTGGGTCCCCGCCTCTGCCGCGCCGGAGGCTTCGCAAGCGAAGCGGTGCCAGGCCCCGAGGCAGCTCAAACAGGGGGAAAAGCCAAGCCTTGCGACCCTTTTGGGAAGCGGAGCCGATGCCGGAGCCAGGCCCGCAAGCAAGGGATCACGGTCGCGCGATGTGGGAGGCTGGATTCAGAAGAGTCTGACTGCGAACAGGGAGAGCCCGAACAAAAATTGCAAGCGCTCTCAGTGACTCAGGCGATGCTTCGGGAATCCAAGCCCCGAGCCGGGAGGCATCGAAGAAGCGGCTTGGCTTGGTCGGGTTTTCGGCCGCGCGGGGCGCGTTGACGTGCCGTGCGTGCATGCGGGCTGCAGCTGCCAGCACTTGCGTCCCAAAGAGCCGCCGGGCAGAAAACGCCGAGGCCAGCATCCCAAAAGAGTGCGGTGCCCAAAGCCCAGGAGGCCCGGTGGGCCCAAGGGCAACTTATTTCTCGCCCTCGCTGTGTTCAAAAGCATTCTACCATGTGCTTATGTGCTTGCAGAAGCCATGTCGGATCTGGATTTGCAGGCGTTCGCGAGCACTTGGGCTCCAGGCCCGATCTGTCCGGGTTTCCGGGCTTCCGGGTTTCGGAGTTGGGGTTCAGGGTTCAGGGTTAACAATTACATAGAGTTTAGGGCAGTTTAGGGTTTAGGGTTTAGGCCAGTCTAGGGCTCTGAAATCCACTCCCTCGGCTGGTGCTTCCAAGGTAGGCAATCTACATCAGGAAAGCCCAGCTTTTTGCTGCCTTTAAGCCCTAAAACCTGAACCCTGAAGCCTAAGGTTTTGGGTTTAGGGTTTAGGGTTTGGGGTTCAGGGTTTAGGGTTTAGGGTTTAGGGTTCTTTGAAACCAGGAAGCTTCCATGAAGTGCAGACCACGCTCAGGTTTGGCAGAGGTGGGTGCAAGCTCCGAACTGGTAGGCGCGGTTCCGTTGTGGGTTCTTCTATCTTTGTTATTGGTTTATCATTGTTAAAGTATCTGGTTTCTGAGTATCATGCCTTATGACGTGATTATGGTTGTTATGAGTAGTATGATTAGTATGATTGCTATCAGGGCAGATGATCCGTATGATTATTAATCGTAAACGCTTGCGCGCGCCACCTCGGCAGCCGGGCCAGCGGAAGGTCCCAAGGCCCAAGAAATTCGAAGAACGTTTCGCAGGTCTGGCAGACTCACAAGGGTTTAGGGTTCAGCATCTCCAGTCCGAGCATTCACTAGACAAGCAGCTTGCCAGGCGTTAGAAAAAAAAACCCACCCACCCAAGAAACCCATAACATTGAGAAAATATAAAGTTCATTCAACACATTCCCAGTAGGCTTAACGCTCAAAGTCCAGTGGACCCAAAACCTGAAATCTAAGGCCCACAACAGATCCTATACCCAACTGAAAGTTTCCCGGTGACCGTATTTTTTTGGTGAGTGGCCAGCGAGGGGGGGGGAGAGGGGGAGGGAGGGCGCCACGAACCAGGCAAAATGCCCACGAAGCAGGCAGAATGCCCACGAAGCGGCAAAAAGGAGGCAACAATGCCCACGAAGCAGGCAAAAATGCCTGGGTTCGTTCGTGGGCAGAATTTGCCGCCCACTGGGGTCATGAAGGTTTAAATTATAATGAGAAAGAGGGGTTTAGGGTTTAGGGTTCAGGGTTTAGGGAGGCTTGTCAGGGAGGGTCCCCCAAAAGGTTGCAAGGTTTCAAGGTTTCAGGTCTCACGCAGGTCCGGGATCCCAAGACGGGGGTCCCAGGACGGGGTCCCAGAAAGGGTCCCAGGGTAGATGTCAAACCCTAAACCCTAAACCCTAAACCCTAAACCCTGAACCCTGAACCCTGAACCCTGAACCCTGAACCCTGAACCCTGAACCCTGAGCCCTAAACCTAAACCCTAATCCCAAGGGCGGGATATCAAGTTCTCGACGCCTCTCGCCAGGAAACCGGGGCGAATTATTACTAGTACTATTCTTATCTGCATTGTTGTATGGATGCATACAAATACTCATCACAATGTCAAGTTCTAGATCGTGGCTACGAAATTAGAGAGTTCTTAGGTCATGAGCCCTACTCCCAAACCCTCTCATTCCCCCACCCTCCCCCCACCCACAGCAGAAGATTTATAAGGGTCTAGGGTTTGTGGCTTGTTTTCTGATTCCTCAGACCTCAGACACACTCGAAGCCGGCGCAGTGCAAGGTGAGCCTGGTAACGAGCTCTTGGCTTCTGCCCAGATCTCGGCCATTCCATCCAATCCAAGTCCCGGTGACATGCGGGAGAATATGTTTCACCATATTTGAATGACAAGAATTGTTTCCCCCCATTTTAGAGAGAAATCGACCTGTCCTGCATTGCTTAGGTCTTCGCTGGCCGAGCGCGGGTGTCCCAGCCTTTCGTGGATAAGGCATAGTCTGGAGGGACCCTGATCCTTGCACTCCTTGCCGTCTCCGGTCTACAGGGATTGTGCGAGCCTGTCATGTCTGTTCGCTTGGCACCGCCCTCAAAAGTGCAGATATGTGTCGACTCTCTTTAGAGTGTTGCAGCGTTGAACACGCAGAATTGTCATTCTCAGTTCCCTGTGCCGCCCGCGTGGCTGGGCATGTATGGCCCTTATTCTAGGACCCCCCCCCCCCCCCACAACGAAAACCCTAAACCCTAAACCCTGAACCCTAAAATCGGAAACCCCCCCTCATCTGAGTCCAGAAGATCTGATCAGCATCGTAGGTGCGGTCTCCCTGCGCGTCTAAGGCCTGTGGTGGTCTTCGACTACGACCCCAGGCCCTGCCCTCTGCACTGTTTAGGGTTTGGGGGTGCATTTTGAGTTTTGGGGGTTTTTGTGTTTTCGGGTTTGTCGGCGTTTTTGGTTTTAGGGGAGGCTCGGTTGTGAAGCGGTGGTGGCTGACAGAGCCGGTCGCTTGTGTCGGGCTGTGCTTTGGGTCCTCAGAGAAGTTCATGTCGAAAGTGGGTGTCCTCTAGCAAGCAGGGGGGCTGCGTTCTGTCTTCGAGCTTGCGCGAAAATCAACCGAAAACAAGATCCAAAACAAGAGAAGACTCTGACCACCTAGCCGGGGTTTAGGGTCGGGTTTGAATTCTTTGCGTGACGATGGTCCATACAGCCCTTGTTCTCAACACCTTCCCGGCAAAGGTAAACACCCTTGGGATCCTAATGATCATGTACGCCTTTCGATTTTGAGGGCGAAGTTGCTCAATATCCCACCCAACCGCGCTCCCAGCTGAAAGGTGTAAAGCCGCACCAAGGGACAAAAGCAGGCCTTCCTGTTGGTGTGAAGTTTCAGTCCTAAGTTTTAATGGAAGGGCATGTCGAGATCTCGTGTCCAAGCCGATATGTGCTGGGTGCAGCCTAAATATCAAGGCTTTACTTGAACCTCACCTCGATCTTCGGCATGAGTTCTCCCTGCAGGAATCTCAGCGAGGCTGACAAGGCAGCACTGTCCATGACGAGGCTCCCTCAGACCCTTGGCCTGGAAAACTCGAAGAATAGGGGGTGATAAGGGTGGTATAAGGGGGTATAAGGGGGCGTAGAAGTACTCCGCAGGCGACTCTTGCCCGTCAGGGGCCTCTTGGACCGCCATTGCCCATGTTGCCCAGGATGCACTTCTGCATACAGACGACTCGAGATGTTCATGAGCCTGGCTCTCATGGTGGAATGACTCATGGCATGCGGAACGGTCCAGATTAGTAGAGGCCCTGCATGAAATAGAGCAAACCCCATGGGTGCCATGTCAGCGTCAGCGTCTGTGCAAAGACGTCAAGCAGCCCAGGTACAATGCCGTGGTGAACACCTTCAAGTGGTCCAGCCTCGTTTCTCTGAGTCGTTTCCCTGTGTAGGCTTCTCACCGGCGACTTAGCGGAGGCATGGGCTCTGCACAAGGCTCTCCGTGCTATGTGCCAGGATGGCCGGTTGGACTCGCGTCCCGGTGGGCTCGCCAAAGTTCGCCATCTACTGGGGCTCGGGGGCTTGGCCCATGCTGCGCTCAAAAAACGCCCCCCCCGCAAAAACCAGCGAGGAGTGACTCGGCTCAGGCCCACATCCCTCGCCCGAGATGCCGGTGCCTTGAAGATGCAGATTGCAGCCACAGAGACCCTTTGTGAGCGCATCTTTCTTTAAGATTCACGCAGTCACGCAGTGCCTCAATGCTGACAGCATCTGTAGATTGGTCCATGAAGAACGGGACCGAGTTCAGTGCGTTTTGTCAGAAACGCCATTGGTGTGAATTTGGTCCGGGATGGCTACGGCCAGCTGTTTTGAACTGACAGGTTTTGGGGGAAAGCCTGCATGTTTGCTTCGATGGGTGTCCCGGGATGCTTTGTAGGTGCCTTGAAGAAGCTGAGAATCTGAGAAGCAAACGGCCACAGCACCGCAGACTTTGAGGCTGAAGGGCTTCAACCCGTTCCAGAAGGCAAACCACTTCCCCAACTCCTGGCAGTTGGGTCGCAAGGAGACCTCTGCAGCCTCTTTTTTGTTGGAGTTTTAGGCACGAACCTCATACTGAACTCTGAGATGTTGCTCACCCCACAAACGACTCTACACCCTACAATCCTTCTTCCAAGAAGAAGATCTGCGTAGTCTTTGCAGGATCTCCTCGGCAAGAACATCCACAGGCACCGGGTTCTCTGAGCCCTACATTCGGACTTTCCTCCCCCCAACAAAAACACCACATGATACCCCAAAGCCCATAGAGCCCGAAAGCCCTGAGCCCATACGCCTCTGCTGACCAGGATGAAGCGGCAGTTTCCCAAGGACTACAACATCATGTGCCCGCCTAAGGCTCTAAAGGGTTCTGTTTTGGGATGTTCCCCCCTTAATTATACGAAGAGTCCTTAGTAGGGATTCGAATAGGGGAGTACTATCATCCCTATTTCGGACTGTTAGTATAAGGGGGAACACCCCAAACCCTAAACCAAAAGGTCCGCTAAGATGGAGCCCAATGAACTTTCCAAAGCCCCAGCTCCTTGCTAGCTTACTAGCCCCCAACCCCCGCAAAAACTCGAGAAGCCCTAAGACTAAGCCCTGCAAGCACGAAATCTAAACCCTACAAACCTTACAAACTCTATAACACCCCACCCCACCCCACCCCAAACCCCAAGGCCCCCAAAAGCCAACGCCTGAGGCCATTGAGCTTCAGTCTTCCTGAGGATGGGCAAGCCTGGGCCCAGGTGGCGCGAAAAGGGGAGCCCTGGAAGGTTTGGGGCTTGGGGTTTGGGGTTTAGGGTGTGCATCAGTTGACGCGTGGAGAGAGTGTACCTTTTCTTTCGATTTAGGGGCGCGACCCCCCATCACACGCTCGCACCCCAACCCCCCACCCGCACTGTTCTCTTTAGGGTTGGGGCCCAAAAACGGTTTGGGGTTCCCCCCGGCCCCACGCCCTTCCCCCCCAACCCCCAAATCAACGGGGGTGTTGGAGGCTGGGGAAGGGCACAGCCTTGTCCGAGAGGCCCAAGCGCCCGCGTTTTTGGTCAGTGGCGCTCTCGCCAGTTGTAATTAGTTGAGAAGTTTTAAATCTAGTTGGGAATGCATAGTATGAGTACGTACATGTACATGTACATGTACATGTACATGTACATGTACATGTACATGTACATGTACATGTCAGTACATGTATATGTATATGAATAATAGCGTATGTCTAATCGTGAAAATCTCCATGCATGTGTATATGAATTTGTACGTCTGTTTATACAGAACATGTAGCATCTTATGATCTCCATGATACAGATTTATACATAGTATAGTATCAGAAAATACTGTTTTGTCTGATCTGATACAGGAAAGTTCTTTCTATCTGCTAAATGAATTTCGGTATGTCTGTGGGCGAATGTAAAGATGCGTACCAGTTGAGATGGCTCGCCCCGGTTCGTCCAACAAAGCTGCTTGACCGCGCCCAAACACATGGCGAAACATTCGGCGGTTTCACTCGTCTGGCTTGACCCCAAATGCGGTCTGTGTTGAACGGCTACAGAATGTAAGGTGATCAAGTTTAAGGATTATGGAAGACTACTGTGCATGTCATGAGCTCCATGCACTACAATTTTTTTCGCAAGATGAGTATTATATAGTTCGTAATTAGTAGCAAAATGATTGAGCTTTATTCGACAGATTTGTGCTTCCAATCAACATTTAACGGAGCTTCACAAGACATGTGGACATTCCTTGGCTTCCAACGCTAAGGGAAGGAGGAAGCATTGATTGAAGTCGCCGTGCAACGGTCCATTCCGCATTCTGGAGCGCGATTCTCGTCTAGTCACTGCGCGCACTTCAGGGGGCTGAAATTATGTTCTCGCCTCGGCGTCGGGTAGTCTACGGGTTCTTGGCCCAAGTCGTGGAAAGCAACGTTATTGTGCTTCAGATGTGCTGTGAAAGTACAATGCCTGCTCACGGGCCGATGAGGGGGCTACAGTTTTTGGGCTTGTTAAGGCGGAAGGCATTCTAGTGACGTGCAACATATTTGGATGGTAGCGGAGACAAAGACACATGCCAGCCAATGTATGCGTTGGTAGGCCTGGCGGTCGGGACTGTTGCAGTAGCACAGCGAGCACAGCTGTTGCAGTCAACCATTGGAAAAATGCGCGCAGGCCGCTACCTTTGCCGTCTTGCATGTTTTGTTGTGTTTTTTTTATTTTTTTTCCGTTGGTTTTTGTGGGACGAAGGCCACGTTGATAGGTTGTCATTTTTTCTTTCTTTTTGGCATGGCCCTGGCACTATGGCTTGCTGAATCTAAATGTTTGCTGTGACACACACGAGGAAGTGGTTGAAAGCATGACTTCGGGTCGCGGGTTGAAAACAGTGCATGTTGCTTGTTACGATGTGTGAGACAGTCGACACAAGGTATCCGTGCAAAGTATAGAAATCCCTCGCCTTGATCTCCCGGAAAAAAAAACGAAATTTCCAGGCCTGTGCAGGCGTTGGATGGCTTTGGAGTGACTTTTCGTTTCAGTGCCCGTGCAACCATTCGCAGGCACTGGTAACATGGACTATATCATCGTGTGGGCATCGATGCTTTGGCCCTTCGAACGAATTGGTGGCATGGACGTAGATGATGATCATACGGGCATGGATGCTCTGGTCTTTCGCAACATGGACGTGCTCTTGATGTGCACGGAGACCAAAAAAGGCTGCAGGCAAACCGCGATTATTCCCCCCCTCCCCACCCCCACTGAGAGACGCCTGGCTGCAAACCCGGCGGCCTGCGTGAAACAATGCAGGGGTCTTGGAAATCACGAAAATGTCCCCTTGTATAGATATGATACGAACCACCTCCTCGCGCACTCATTCTAATTCAAAAAGTCCCCTATATCTGACGGTCCGTCTAAACGTAAGGGAGTTGAAGACACACAAGCTTCTGGCAGGCGAGGGAGCAGAATCCTGAGGCGTGATTCTCAAAATGGCGTGCCGTGGTGCTTGGTTGTTGATGGACAGGCTTCCAGTGGGATTTCAGGTGGCTGCCTCGCATTCGCGAGGAGTGCAATGGTGGCCTTCAGAACTTCTCTGGTCGGTAATTTGGGTAGAGATGTCTTCCCGCGACTCTTGTGACGTGGGACTTCCCCCCTGCTCGCCCAAGACATGCTGGTCGCGCACGGTAGCATTGCAATGCCTTGTTGGTCGCCCAAAATCCCGAAATCCTCCAACAACCAACCCTACACCTTTACACCCACAATGATGCACTCCTCCACGCAAGCTGTGAGCTGCAAAATGCCTGTCGGCAAACTTCAGCTAATCATTATGCCTTCCAACCTGCATGCGCAACCTTGATGACGAAACGGAAGCCCAGTGACAGGCTTTATGGATTTGGAAGCCCGTCAATCTCAGCGGCTTTGGCAGCAGGAAGAGCACTTCACAATCATGTTTCATTGCTATCATAATCATAAGATCAACAACTGAAGCGAAAAACGCGAACATGAAGAAGAAGAAGAAGAAGAAGAAGAAGAAGAAGCAGAAGAAGAAGAAGAAGAAGAAGAAGAAGAAGAAGAAGAAGAAGAAGAAGAAGAAGAAGAAGAAGAAGAAGAATAATGAGAAGACGAAGAACAAGAAAAAGAAGAAGAGGAATAAGAAGAACATGAAGAAGAATAAGAAACAAATGAAAACAAGAAGAAGAAGCAGCAATCTACAAGCACAGATGTATATACATAAAAAGGCTGGGGTTCTTGGTAGGGAAGGAGGGAATGAGGTACCCCATATAATCCCTTGAAGGGTATATATGGGGCCCTAATCCCCTCATTCCCGACTAAGAACCAGGGGGGAAGAGGGTGATATTCAAGGCGAGGGTGATATTTTAGGGTTTAGGGTTTTAGGGTATACTGTAGGGCTTCGGGTTTAGGGTTTAGGGTGTAGGGTTCAGGGTTTAGGGTTTAGGGTCCCTAAACTGCAGGGATAAGGCGGCCGGCCTCCGCTTGGATTCAGAGCGTTTGCCAACGATGTGCTCAGGCTGCGGTAAGGGCATTCGCCCGGCGCCCGGAAGACCTAGTCCCCCCTCCCTGGCTCTTAGTAGGGAATGATGGATTAGGGTTTAGGGCTTATTCGTTTAGGGTTTAGGGGTTTTCAGTAAAGTCAGCGTGTGGCTGCATCGTGCCGAGCATTCTTTCACAAGGGACTAAACGAGGATCCTTAGAAGGGACCTTCGGGGTTATTTCGGGGCTATTTCGGGACTACGTAGGGACCCTCATGAGCGCATAGGGGTTAGTTAGGGGTTAGTTAGGGGTTAGTTAGGGACGACTTTGGTATGTAGGGACGAGCCCCCTAATCCTAAACCCTAAGCCCTAAGCCCTGAGCCCTAAACCCTAAACCCTAAACCCTAAACCCTAAACCCTAAACCCTAAACCCTAAACCCTAAACCCTAAACCCTAAACCCTAAACCCTAAACCCTAAACCCTAAACCCTAAACCCCATTAACTCACCTCCGAGGTCTCCTTGAGTCATCCCTGGCCCCGAGCGTGGAGAAGAAACTCATGCAGAGGCCTGGGAAGCGTTTTTGAGGGTCCTTAATTCCTCAGGGTTTAGGGTTTAGGGTTTAGGGTTTAGGGTTTAGGGTTTAGGGTTTAGGGTTTAGGGTTTAGGGTTTAGGGTTTAGGGTTTAGGGTTTAGGGTTTAGGTTTAGGGTTTAGGGTTTACAGGGTTTAGGGGTTTGTAGGTCGGCCCTTGGGACTTTTTATGTTGGGTTTAAGAGGATCATATTCAGGAGTATTTGTCAGAGGGTTTTAAGGGCCATCCCAGTTGAGAATTCCTAACATGCATTCATGGTCAGCTGCTAGGCTACGTAGTTGAGCAGTAGTTCGTGATTGTCGACGTTGATCCCATGCTGGCTGCTGCTTGCCTCGCGCAGAGTCACTGCGACAGTCGCAATGCTCGTGCCAAGCAGAACGGCTGAACTCAAGGGTTTCTGCACACCAACTAATTGCAAAAGAACCCCCCCCCCCAAAAAAAAAGAGTCTTTGTTATAAGGGTAACACTGGCATGATTATCCGTTATTGATTGGGGGTTCTGAAGCAAATAGTAGAGCATCAGCTAGAAGGGTAAGTTGTGGCAATGTTCGTTTTGTTGCCGATTGCATCATTTTCACATGGCAAGGCAGCATTTTCACCACGGGGGTTACCCCTCTGCCCATGACTGCCTGACTAAGTTCAGAGCATCTAAGTGCTGAGTCCAAGGTCAGGTGTCGTGCAGAGGTACGTGGATCGACCGCAGGGGCGCCCAGGATTTGTCCAGGGCAGTGGAGCTTACGCAGCGACTGTTCCCAAGAACCTCGATATGGAATTTACGAACAGGGGACCCCTATTCTTGGACCCCAAATAGTAGGATCCCTTTCTGAAAAAAGGTTTCCATGAAGGTACCCCTATTATCGTAAACCCCCATATTGGCTTGACTGTTCATGGCGAAGCAACCTGGATCTCTGAACTGCGTCGGTCTAGTCCGAGGCTGCTGATCAACGGCTTCAAGTTCGACCTTCGCCTCTACGTGGTAGTCGCCCGGCAATGATGCTTCTTCCGAGAGGGCCGGGATCCCGAAACCCTAGCCCTAAACCCTAAACCCCAGGAGCTGGCCTGTGAACCAATCCTTTCGTTTTGTGGACCCCCGGCGCTTGTTGCCCTTTCTAGGACCAGTTCTGTCACGCTTGCTTCCGACATCTTCTGGGGGGTTTGTGGCTCCTTTCGGGTTCTGAACCTTTCACTTGCTCCATTTGGGGTAACATTTTATATTGCTAAGGGTGCTGAAACTCAATAAGGAGTAAAAATTTAACTTGTTAATGCGAGCCAACCATGAACTAGTTCAGTTGCGGCATTAGGGTTTTGGGGAAAACCCTCCATCCCCACAGTTTCCCCAAGCTCTCCGCAACGAATCTCTTGAGACTGTGCCCCAGGTGGAAGTTGCTTGAGACTTTAGACTAGGTTTCGGCGCGGTCTTCCTCCAACCTTAAACCCTAAACCCTAAACCCGCCCTAAACCCTACACCGTACACCCTAAACCCTAAAGTCTCAGGATTTGCTAGTTTGGGGTCTGGGTTTGGAGCCTTGGGCTTTGAGCTTCGGCGTCCATAACAAAGGGCCCCAACTTGAAGCAAGTCCCAGGTGACTTCTTTCGATCCTCTGAAGGCCTGGTCTTGGCGTGCCTTAGAGGGCTTGGTGCTGTGACTTCCAGTGCACCGGCCCCCCCCCCCCCCCTGCATTTCGGAAGGTCTACATCAATGAGGAGGGTCTCGTGCGCTTGGCGACGCAGAAATACCGGTGTTCGGCCGACAGTCCTGGGCTCAGGGCCGCGAAGGATAGAGTGTTAGTCAAATATGTAGGGGCTTGAACTCCTCAAGCCGAGGCCTACAGGAGAGGACCATGCACCTCACCAACTACTCAGTGAACAAGCACGCAGCCAGCCGCGCGGCAGAATCTCACAGAATTTCGTAGAAGCTCACGACCAATGGATGTCACAGAACGCTCCTGGCGTGGAAGGCTACAAGCAAAATCTTGACGGGCAAGCCACGGGGGATCCGACCCCGGCAGAGGAGGTTGCCGTCAGTGACAGTTGTGTCTCTCCGAAGGGTGTAAGCGCACTCTTTTGCAAGGCCGAGCCCGAGGGAGACGCCCCCGAAGCCCGGGACCCAGCCGCCACCTTGCGACACTTCAGCTCCCTTCTTCGATGTGCAAGGTCCTAGCTGGCGATGCTGATCCGGAGGCCAACTGCGTGTGTCTAACACCCTTCTAGGCCCCAAACCCTGAGCCCTCAACACCCACTCAGAGTCCCCTGTGCAGGAGAGCCGCGAGGCATCGAAGTGGTCGCTGAAGCCAAAGACCTGGCATCTCTGAGTCCCTAAATGCCCTAGACTCCTAGACGCTCCTGTCAGACACCAAGCGCTCATCCAACTGGGACTCGAAGGAGGTAGTTTCACACCCTGTGTAAAGTGCCTGCCCCTGAGGCAGCTCCTGGAGTACTCCAAGGCTCATGGCCTCGGGCTAAGAGGCACTTGCAGCCTGTGTGAGTAGATTGGCAGCTCCTCTCCACGTAAAGAAGACAGCGATGCACATAAGGCATCGACTACGACTTGATGATGTCGCGGATCGAGGATGTCATCATCAAGTCGCTTATTGCAGTTGAGCCGCCTTCTCAGCCCGTCTGGGGAGTTCCCATTGCCTGCCCTTTCAAGTGGATGCCTGTAGTAACTTTAGATTCAAGGGTCAAAGCGGCTCACAGATGCTCGACTCTGAATCTGCGAAACTCTGTGTCTCAGGTAAACGGTCACTGCAGACGTAGCTCCTGTGCAGCTGGCTAGCAGTATCTAGCCGTAGAAGCATTCAGAGAACACCCGCCGGAGCACCGCGTGCAAATGCAAGAAGTCATCTCCTCCTTGTCAGAAGAAAGAGAGAGGCCGACCCCCCCAATGTCCTGGGCTCTAGTCCCACGTTTCTTGAAAACCCGAAACCCCAAACCCTAAACCCTAAACGGACCCTCGGGGAGCGGCCTTGTGCTGCCCGCAACCACGGGTGGCCTCTTTGTGCTTAGGTACAAAAAACATCGGCAGGCGCGTGCTTTCCGGCATGCGCTGGTGCTGAGAGAAGCACGCAAATCCTGGACTCGAAACTGGATTGAGTGCGGAAACTGCACGCCTCCCGAGTATTTGCTTGTCGCGCTCTCCGTTTTTTTTAGGCTTTTCAAGAATCACCCAGCTCAAAAACCCTCACACAAGCACAGTCTCTAAAACCTGGCATGCAAGCCAAGTATTTGCAAATGGGGTGGCTGTGCCACCTCCAACCCTCCCGCTGGAGTATCTGCAAACATTCAAAGAGAGTACGTGCTCGGGATACCCAATATTCATGGTGTTGTTCTTTGTTGCTGCACTAGTTCCAAATGGGGGGGCTGCGCCCCTCCCCAACCCCCCTCTCAAAATCTCGCAAGCACAGTCTCAAAAATCTGGCACACACAAGCCAAGTATTTGCAAAGGGGGGGGGGGGGGCTGCGCCCCCCCAGCCCCCCCGCTGGAGTATCTGCAAATATTCAAACAGGGTACTTGCTCTGCCCCAACACAAGGGTATAGGTTGGGCCCAAGGGTGGCGCAAGGGACGCACAAGGCTGGCGCAATACAGCATGGCTGATGTGAAGCCATGGGCCTTAACAGAGGATCTTCGGAGGTGGGCAGCCAGAGGCTTCCCCAGGCAGCAGGAAGATAGAAAATGAACGGCTTCGCCACAGCCAGGGACAGCTTCGACACCGGGATGTGTAGAGCAAGGTGGGCAATGTTTGTGATTTGAGGGCCCCAAGGAGCTTGTCGGTACCACGTTTTGTAGTTGGCATGTTTGCCGGTGTGGTCAAACACTAGCACGGGGCGAGGCGCAAGGGAACCCCTAGGTCTTGGGCGTGGCACTAGAATTATAGACAACATCCACTTTCTCATAGGGCGGCACAAGGCCTCTGCGCGACCCTAAACCCTAAACTCTAAACCCTAAACCCTTAACCCGAAACCCGAAACCCTGAGCTGCCATCCAAGGCCTCAGATTGTCAACACCTGGCATCAGGCTCCTGACATGTGCGCAGTGCTGGTGTATGGCTCAACCCCAAGCCCTGACCTCCATGAAGCCCCAGAACCCCACACCCCGAGCCCTAATCCCTAAAACCTAAACCCAAGAAACCCTACACCTCAAGTCCTGAACTCTAAACCCTAAGCCCTAATACCCACACCCCAAGCCCCAAACCCGAAACCCCAAGCCCTAAACCCTAAACACCCTGAACCCTACACCCTAAACACCCAAAACCCACAACCCAAAAACCCAAAACCCAAAACCCTAAACCCTAAACCCTAAACCCCAAACCCCAAACCCCAATTCTAGGCCGGTGAGAGTTCGCTCGGGTTTTCTGGCCTCCCTCCCGGCCCTGAGGGTGCCAATTTCTCAGTGGCCTGCCCCGGGCCGATCCAGCAGGCCTGGGGGGTTTAGGGTTTAGGGTTTAGGGTTTAGGGTTTTAAGGCTTTGGGGGTTTAAGGTTTTAGGGCTTAGGGTTTAGAGGTTTTAGGGGTTTAAGGTTTAAGGTTTTAGGGTTTAGGGTTTAGGGTGGAGGGTGGAGAGTGGAGGGTTGAGGCCAGGCCTTGTTTGAAGCGATGACGGGCAGCCTTGTTTTGGGCCAAAGGGCTTGACACAGTTTCATGCTACGAAACAGGAGTAGTAAGTGTTGATTTGCATAGGTGATCTCAGATGTTTCTCCTGAAATGCACGGGCGCTGGCCCAGTGCAAGAGTTGGATGAATGCTCGGGCGCTCGGACGTAAGTGCGGCCGTTGGCGTGTGCTAGGTGCGTATGGTGACGTCGTGGGCTCAGGCTCAAGAATCGCCGAACGTGATCACGACCAAGATATGTCCCAAAGGAGCGTGCACACAATGGAGATCTTTTGTCGCGAGCAGCAAAGGGGAATAGATGGCAGACGCCCTGGCGCGGCGTGGCGCAGGGCCCATTGGGTTCCTGCATTTTTTGGGAGCTCTGGTCGCTTTCACCAGTTCGCACCGCAAAACCACAATGTTCTGCATTGCCCAATCTTGTGGGCAGTCCGCCGTCCATTCGTGCTCCCACCATTCCCAACCCGCGTGTTGTGTGCTTGGCTCGGTACGTTGTCGACCCTTGACTGTCAAGGGCAGAGTGGGCAGAGAGGGTTGCAGTCGGAGCTGAGGGGTCTTCGATGTTCGGTCCCATTGTTGACACGTAGCGTCGCGGTGCTGTCAGATTGGCCCGAACCAGACCTGCTTTGAGATCTACGGCCGCAGCCTCGAATTCCACAGCAAGTCTTCCCCAAGGGGTTGACGACTTGAGGAGTTACAGGTCGAAGGCAGGGGTTCAAGGCTTTGGGTTTAGGTCGTCCAGACTTGATAGGGTTTGCGGAGGGTTTGTGGGGCTTGTCAAGGTTTTATAGGCTTGAGGGTTGCGCTCGCCAGGCTTTGACATACTGGTGGACAGCGACCTCCGGTAAGCCTGCCGAGCTTGGCTTTCCCTGAAGCGGCTGCGCGGAACCCTGAGCTCCAGGTCCCACAACAGAGCTATGATTTTTTTGCAGCATCTCTCTCTCCCTCCCTGTGCTGTTGTTAGGCCTTGCCCCACCCTCAGGAGTAGGCGTGGGGCGGGGCCTCTTGATCCATCTATGTCGAAGATGTATTCGGTAAGGCGCCCAATTCCATGAAAAGAAGGCCCAGCGAGCACCTTCGTGCGTCAGCCAGGCCATGGTTGCTGGAGGTCAACGTCTTCCCGTGCGGCCTTCAATATGGCTGGTTTGCCGTGTTGAGTGCAGGGCCCCTCAACTCTCAACCCTCAACCCATCAGCCCTCAACCCGCAGCCCTCAACCCTAAACCTAAACCCTAAACCTCAAACCTTTTGAGGCTTTAGAACTTGAGGGTCTTGCGTGAAGTGGTCAAACCTGGGATCACGACTGACTCGAAGGTCGTTCTCCTCCTCGTCGCCTTACGACAAGAGGATCAAGACTCAACTTGTGGCTGATGTGTCAGTGACCCGGGAATTCCACCAAAGGATTACTTTAGCTGATGCTTTCTTACTTGTTGAGGTTCACCCTGCTCGGCATCCCCCCCTACAGCCATGATGCTGTGGAAAGTGCATGCAAGGACCGGTTTCTGGAGTCCAACACATGCTCGGGGGAGGGCTTTACTAGCCCAGGGTTTCTTTCGGAGGCACCATTTTTTGTGTGGGTTTTGTTGCCGGCTTTACTGCTTAGACTTGTTTTATAGTTTTTTTGTTATTTGCTCTATTTGCTCTCTTGCATGATCATCTGTTTGCTATGCTGTTGATGTTTTCACCTTTGTTGCTGCTGCCTTTTTTCGCTCTTATTTGTTGTTTCCTTGCCTTCGTCTGCGGTTGTTGATTTAACTTGGTTTGATTTCCTTCTCTTTGTTTTCTGCTTTTTGGTTTTACCTGTCTTGGGGAATGGCCGCAACACCCATACTGTATCTTGAATCCTTTCCTAACCCCCCATGCAATCATCGTGTTGACAGAATCGCCCCCCCCCCCCCCCCCCCGGCATTTTCAAGCCTTGCAATACCTCAAGGAGTTATATATTATATATCATGTCATCAAGAGGAAGTGCTTCAGAAAACAGAACGTGCATCCTGTAAACCCCGTCATATTGCACCAGTATTGCGTTTGAAGAATGATGGGGAACCCTACCAACACTGCCACTACGTTACTAGCCACTTCCGCGACCACCACCGCGAGCGCTACCGCGACCGCTACCGCGACCACTTCCACCACGACTGCCACTACGATGAGTACTCCTTACGATAATGTTAACGCTACGCGACCCGCCTCGGCCTGGCCCAGCGCAGCCCCCTGAGCATGTGGAGTCCGCAACCACGGCACCTCGAAGCTCTGCAGCTGCACCGGGTCATGTGGTGTCCAGGGCACTGTAGGAGGGCTGGGTTGGGGGATGCGGGTGAGGGGAATTGGGTGTGGGGGAGCGTGTGGGCCAGCCCAAGTTGCCCTTACTACTGCTGCTACTACTACTACCATAACTACTACTACTACTACTACTACTACTACTACTACTACTACTACTACTACAACTACAACAACTACTACTACTACTACTACTACGACGCCTACGCCTATGCCTACGCCCTACAACTACAACTACAACTATACAACTACAACTACAACTACAACTACAACTATAACAACAACTACAACTACAACTACAACTACAACTTCAACTGCAACTGCAACTGCAACTGCAACTGCAACTGCAACTACAACAACAACTACTACTACAAGTACTGCTAGTACTCCGACTAGTACTCCTACTAGTACTCCTACTAGTACTCCTACTAGTACTCCTACTAGTACTCCTACTAGTACTCCTACTAGTACTCCTACTAGTACTCCTACTAGTACTCCTACTAGTACTCCTACTAGTACTCCTACTAGCACTCCTACGCCTATACGCCTTCCCCTGCACCAACTCCTACTACCACCGTTGCCACCTGGCGAGTAGACGATTGATCCCATGCTTTGCTGCTCCTTTTCCGGTTGCAGGCACTCGAAGCAAGTAGCATCCGTTTTGGATGGAACCTCCCGCTTCTTTGCCTTGTCGCCCCCTTTCTCTTTCCTTAACGACCTTAATGTGCGTTCCTTTGGTGGCCCACCCTGAAACACTGAGAAAGCCAGGGTTGTTGGATGCTTGTCGTTCCAGGCTTCACATGTGGTTTGTCTTCTATGCCCTCTTTTCCTTGTCCCGAGTGCCATTTTCGCAGACTTTGCCTGAAGGAGGAGCAAGCAAAACGTTTGCAAGGCCAAGAGCTTGCCACATCTATATCTGTACTCCGTATGTAGTTATGCATGTATGTATTTCGACATAAATATACATGGAGAAATACATGTAGCAACTGTATACACACGGTAGACATACATGCATACATACTACGCTTGGCTAGCGCGAGCTTGGAAGGCTGCCCTGCTCAGGCCAATCAAAATCATTATCCATCACGCGGTCGCACGCAGCTCCACTCTCAAGGGCTCGGTGGAAAAGGGGTTTCCGGAAGCTGAAGCTGCCGGAGAGTTAAGGTCTCAACGATTAAATCGGCGTCCCTGAACAACTTGGGGGAGGCCACTGCTGCGAGTCATGGTTCGGTTTTTAGGCTGCTGCCCTAAATCCTAAACAATATACACCTAAACCATAAACCTTCTTGCCTTCTTTGCTGCAGGCTGAGTGGCGACTGATTCTCGAGTCTCACGAGGAAAATATGCGAAGCGGCCACCTGACTCGAATCTATCCTCGACAGGCCTCCGCTGCACCCTGCTGCGCCTACGCCACCTCTGCACCAGCAAGCGACCTCAACAGCGCCCTTCATGAACCAAGGAACCGCATAAATCCATAGCATTGGACATCAAAGCAACTTCCCTTAAACCCAAAGTCTCGACGGCACCTGTCAGGGCTCTGGCGCATATTCCCAGTTCTTCGCATCCCCGAGGCTTGAAAGTGAAGTTCTCTGTGCTCTCGCGCAAGCCACGTCCGAGATTTTTCATAGGTATACCAACCTTGTCTTGGAGCGCTGGTTCCAGTTGGGCGGAGAGCTTCTGGGCGCGAGAAAGCTACATATTCCTGCGTGGCGTTGCGGAGAAGTTTTGGTGTCTTGATTTCGGGATGCAAGATTGCAAGAGCCAAGGCAGGCTTTCGAACTCGACGCTTGCCACCATATGCCCACGAGTGGCGCGCTTAGCCCTCCTGCATGTCAAGATGGGAAGCGTGTTGTATTCTCTCGTGCTGCTGCGCAAGGTGTTTCATTTCGGCACAGCGCGTGCCCATGCGTGGAGCAGAAAAGCACGGTAGTTCTAGGGGCAAGCAGAGCCGTAGTACGCCGTAGCACATGCACCACAGGATGTTTGAACTAAGTGTTTGAGCTCCCTGTGCATATGACTTCCTCAAGTTGTCTCCCTTTCTGCAGCGGCCTGTTTGGCTCCGTGGATGTGGTGACGGGCCTTGGCCCAAGCACGCTGACCTGCCCTCCCCTCGGCTCTGCAATGTTCTGCAATGTTCTGCACAAAAGAGCTGCAGTTGAAAGTGACGTCTGAATGAAGTTGGGGGCGTGACCCCAGGACGTCATGACGGCAGCGGAAGCAAAGTTCTACAGGGATGGCTCCTCCCTTGAGCACAGTTCTGTGAGCCCATGTTGGGTCGGAAGATGTCCCCCTTAAGGTTACACCCACCGAACGGTGCTCTATGACAGCATGCAGGATGCCAAGGCACTTTCATTCGCATCTCGACTCTCAGGGGCTCTCTGACTTCACTTGAGAAACTGTTCAGATCACTATCGACCGCAGAGAGGCAGAATATGGTGGCTCGCTGAACTTCAGCGCATATCGTCAAGGCCGCGACAGACAGGTGCGGCTTCCAAGAACGCAGCGTGTGCAAGGAAGCCCCTCGCGCGATGTGTCCCTGCGCCAGTATCTGGGCGTCAACGGGAAGAATTACTACGCCAAGCCTTGGGGTAATGACTCCTCCAACATCCAGGCCTGGGAATGGAGGTGAATGCTTCAAAAGCCACTTGAGCGCCAACTGGGGGCCACCGAGGCGGTGATCAACGGACCATCTTACTGGAAGCCAGGCCTCTCAGTGCTCGGTGGGGAGTTTCGGAGTTACAGAGATGTCTGCATCATAAGTTACCTGGGGTCGCTGCCGAGGCGCGTGTACTACCGCGAGAACATCGCTGCACGATTTGCGCGCGAAGATGCAGAGGCCTACTATGAGATTAAGCATGTCGGTAGCTTGCAAGTGCTGGGATCCCTTTCTTTGCGATGCAAGTGATTTTTGCTGGATTGCCACAGATCTTCGGTTTTGTTACACGGGCATCCGTTGGAGCAAGTTGCAATGCTCGCAAATGCGGTGCTTGAAGTTTGTCAGCCTGAACAGTGGTGCTCTGATGCAATAAGTCCGGTTCCCGTTTGCTCCGGATCTGTCAGGCAGTCCAGAACCAAACCGTGGGGCGGGGGGGGGAGGGCACCCGCCGGTGGGCTACTGTATGGATAGGGAAGACGCGTTCATCTGTGATCACAGGGCTAACGCAAAGAATGTTCGGTAGTTCTTTGTTGTTCTGTTGCACCCACCTCTTTTGCAGGAGCAGTGCGTGTCAGAGAAAGTGCCTCGTTCCATTGGGTTCGCGTCTGTTCATACCGGGGTTCCGGTGCCACACACTTTTGCTTGAACAACGGTGCGGGGGGGGGGGGGAGATGTACGCATGTATATATATATATACAGAACATATGTATGGAGATAGATATAGATTTATGGCGGCATGCCATATTCAGCAAGGACACATCTACAAGCATCTTCAGCCCCAAGAGCCTTGGAGCCCGAAAGCCCCAAGGCCCTCTAAACCCTTACAGCCCCAAAACCCTCGCGAGTCCCGCAGGGTTTAGGGTTTCTGGTTTAGGGATGAGGGTATGTAAAGTCCAAAGCCAAGCAGGAAAAGCCCTGGGCCCTCCCAAAACAACCCGAAATGCCCCTGAAAAGCCCCAGCAGGCGGCGGAGCGAAGAGCGCGTGCTGAGGCTGCCGAGGCTAGGGGCCCAACTCAGCTTCGGATGGGTTTTTTTAGGGCTATAGGGTTCGGGTTTAGAGGGTTTAGAGGGTTTAGAGGGATTAGAGGGTTTAGAGGGTTTAGAGGGTTTATGGTGTTTATGGGGTTTGCAGGGTTTAGAGGGTTTAGAGGGTTTCTAGTGGGTTGCAAGGGTTTGTTGAGGTTGCTTCGGGTTTCGGGGCTTCAGGGGGTTGCTCGCAGTCTCGTTGCAGGGGCATCAGAGAGCTCCTGAATTCAAAAGGGTTTAGGGTTTCGGGTTTTAGGGTCCAAGCCTACAGAGATTCCAAGAACGAAGAACGATGGAGCTGAAATGCCCACGCCGTGTTGCAGCCTTGTGGAGCAAAAGCCGAAGCAAACAAAGGACCGCGCCGGACTGAGGCCTTGGCTACCGGGGCGGGTGAGGCGCCCCCCAGGCGCGGTCCTTCCGGTGAACCTAAGACCTGACGTCCCAAGGGCAGTCCGCAGCCTCATAGGCGACATGTTAGAGTCCATTAGCGGTTATCAGGTTCCTTGCCTCCGACATCCCAAGCCCTATCCAGTCAAGAGTCCCCCGAATTCCTCAGTTGGGAGGCGGTCGCAGTCGGAGAGCGTGATTCAGAAACCCAAGACTCTCGATGCGACGTGGCCGCTTCAGGGTTTCGGGCTTGGGCTTTGGGAAGCCCAGCTTGCAGCTTCTTTTCCTGAGGGAGTGGCCAGCTTGGTCCGGTACCAACATGTTTTTGGTTCTTGGGGATGGCGGCCGTGGCGGGGGCGGGGGGGGGAAAGGGGGGGGGGGGTAGGTTGCAACCTCCTTTCTCAACCCCCCCCCCCCCAAAACGAACCTGAATTGCAGTCTTCAAAGGCCAAGGATGCCTACGCGCACATCAAGGATTGAGTGGGGAGTGGGGGGCCAGGAGGCAGAGGTGGAGAGCCGGCCATGTCGCCTGCAAAAAGGTTTGTAGTTGAAGCTCAGTTTGTAAGCCTTGTGCATCATTGTGCAGCTTCTATCCGCAGGATAACATGAAGCCCTTTGTGGAGAAGCAAGGCTGCGGGTGCTGTCGTTCCCATCTTGCTAGTTCGGTTTCATAGAGTCATGGAGTCGTCACAAAAGTCATGGAGTTCATGAACCCGATGCCGCCACGTGTCCGGCGAGTTGAAACGACAATCCGGGGCTCTTGATTCAGCATGATTCGCAGACGTTGAGTATGGCCTCTTCGGGCTTCAAACAACAACTGATGCCCTGTGTTGGCCTGCACCAAGAAGCATTCCACCTGTTTTAGGCTGCCGATACCAGGCGCCGCTTTAGAAGGAGTAGTTTATCAGCCCACATCTTGCCGATGCTGTGAAGTTGGGACACGGGTGGGATGGTTTGCGGATATCTGGAAGCCTTCAGGGGGTTCGTGCGTAGAACGCTGCCACAACTTCCCTTTTTCCACACTTCCGCACGAGCTTGCCAACTGTTCGAGCCTCATGTGGACGCTCAGACCCATAAATGGCCCCGAAACCCTAAAACTTATAGACCTGACCCCGAAACCCTGAAACCCATGTAAGACTGCCAGCCGAAGGCAAGCCGCGCATCAAAGGGTTGGAGGTGCCATGTTGATTTTGACTGCCGTGTTGCGCGTCTGACGCGAGTCTTGCATGCGAGTTCTATGTATACAGACTGGTGCAAGTATCAGTATGCTCGTCGACGCCGGCGGAGAAGTTTCCCTGCATCTAGCCATTCCTCGCCCTAAAAGTCCTCAGCTGCCTGAGCGAACGTCAGCTCACCAATCATCCTGTTTCAAAGTTGAAGGCTGGCGAGCGCCTTCACTTCTTCAACACCTTGCACAACAAGTATCACATGAAGGCCACAGCTAGTTGGGTTTCAGAAGGCTTGGGGCACGCTGACGGTTTGTAGGCTGGCGGCAAGAACTTGGAGTGGAACGTCTCCAAGCAGGCCAACCGACCGCGACTGGGTGATTGCCCCTTTGTGTGACGCCACGAATAAGGATAACAAAGGCAGATGAGGGTCTTTCAGCGGTTCTGAAACCAGGAACAGCTAACTGAGCTTGCGTGACGCACACATCCCTGTGCTGGCAGACGCATCGAAGCACCAAGAACGAGCTGAACTGGATCTTGTCCAACTACTTCCGGACCGACTCGCATGACGCGGGCTTAACACTTTCAGGCATCGCCTTTATTCAGCAATTAGCAAACCCAAAGCCCTCGACCCGAGACCACCCACAATACAGCGGACGTCCTTTCTGAGGCCGTCCTCAAGGGATCTGGAAATGACTGAGGCGCTGTGGATTTTCGGCTCTGGGGCCTTGAGTAGGATGGTGTACAGGGTCCATGCGTGCCAGCATCCACGGTTTAGGGTTTAGCCCCCTCTCCCCGCGTGGTTCACGGTCTGGTTCATGGTAGTTTTAGGGTTTAAAGGGGGTTTTAGGTGGACTTTAGGGTTCACTCTACCCCCATGGTTCATGGCGGGTTTTGCGTTTCGGGTTCAGGGTTTAGGGTTTCCTCACCGCTCCCTGTGGTGCTGGTTTCGGGTTCAGGGTTAGGGTTTAGGGTTGGCTGTTGGCTGGGGTATCATGTGGGGTGGGGATGGGGGTCGAGAACGTGCCGGACGCTCTAGGGTGTAGGGATTGCCTTATGCGAACGAAAGTGAAAATCCCTGAGCCTTCAACCCTGCTGACGAAACCTCAAGCACGAACCCCGAACAAACACGGATTCAGAAACTACCCCCGATTCAGAAACTACGGTTCAGAAACTATTTCGTCCGATTCAGAAACTACTTGGTCCGGTTCAGAAACTGCGGTTCAGCAACTATTCTCTCGGATTCAGAAACTATTTCGAACCGATTCAGAAACTGTTTGCTCAGATTCAGGAAACTCCCGCGATTCAGAAACTACGGTTCAGAAACTATTCCGTGCGATTCAGAAACTATTCCGCGCGATTCAGGAACTATTTTCAACCGATTCAGAAACTACTCACACCTCGACCTTCAACTCTTCTCTCAGAGATATTTCAAAATCCCCCCCCCCCCCCCACTCATTTGTACTCACACTTCGACTTTCAACTCTTCTCTCAGAGATATTTCTAAATCCCACCCCCCTCATTTGTACTCACACTTCGACATTCAACTCTACTGTCAATTATGTTAAATCTCACCCCCCCCTCATTTGTCCTCACACTTCGACATTCAACTCTTCTCTCAGAGGTCTTGTTCAATCCCACCCCCCTCCTTTGTACTCACACTTCGACATTCAACTCCACTCTCAATTATGTTAAATCTCGCCCCCACTCATTTGTACTCACACCTCTCAACTATGTTAAATCTCACCCCCACTCATTTGTACTCACACCTCGACTTTCAACTCTTCTCTCAGAGATATTTTGAAATCCCACCCCCCCCTCATTTGTACTCACACTTCAACATTCAACTCTACTGTCAAATATGTTAAATCTCACCCCCCTCATTTCTCCTCTCACCTCACTCATTTCTCCCCACACTTCGAGTTTCTATTCTTCTCTCCGGTTTATTTTAAATCACACCCCCTCATTTGTTCACACCCTCGGCCTTCAACTCTTCTCTCAGAGATATTTCTAAATCCCACCCCCCCCCCCCCCCCCCCTCATTTGTACTCACACTTCGACATTCAACTCTACTCTCAATTATGTTAAATCTCACCCCCCCCCACTCATTTGTACTCACCCCTCGGCTTTCAACTCTTCTCTCAGATCTACTCTCAATTATACTCAATCTCGCCCCCCTCATTTCTCCTCTCACCTCACTCATTTCTCCACACTTCGAGTTTCAATTCTTCTCTCCGATTTTTCAAATCACACCCCCCTCATTTGTTCACACCCCTTCGACTTTCAACTCTTCTCTCAGAGATATTTCTAAATCCCACCCCCTCTCATTTGTATCCACACTTCGACATTCAACTCTACTCTCAATTATATTAAATCTCATCCCCCTCATTTCACCTCTCACCTCACTCATTTCTCCCCACACTTCGGGTTTCAATTCTTCTCTCCGGGTTTTTATTTTAAATCACACCCCCTTCATTTGTCCTCACACCTCTCATTTGTACTCACACCTCTACTTTCAACTCTTCTGTCAGAGATGTTCTTTAAATCCCACCCCCCCTTATGTGTACTCACACTTCGACATTCAACTCTACTCTCAATTATGTTAAACCTCACCCCCCTCATTTCTCCTCTCACCTCACCCATTTCTCCCCACACTTCGAGTTTCAATTCTTTTCTGCGGGTTATTTTAAATCACACCTCCCTCATTTGTCCTCACACCTCGACCTTCAACTCTTCTCTCAGAGATATTTGTAAATCCCACCCCCCCTCATTTGTACTCATACTTCGACATTCAACTCTACTCTCAATTATGTTAAATCTCACCCCCCTCATTTCTCCTCTCACCTCACTCATTTCTCCCCACGCTTCGAGTTTCAATTCTTTTCTGCGGATTATTTTGAATCACACCCCCTTCATTTGTCCTCACACCTCTCATTCGTACTCACACCTCTACTTTCAACTCTTCTGTCAGAGATGTTTTTTAAATCCCACCCCCCTCATTTGTACTCACACTTCAACATTCAACTCTACTGTCAATTATGTTAAACCTCACCCCCCTCATTTCTCCTCTCACCTCACTCATTTTTCCCCACACTTCGAGTTTCAATTCTTTTCTGCGGATTATTTTAAATCACACCCCCTTCATTTGTCCTCAAATGAAGGATTTGTACTCACACCTCTACTTTCAACTCTTCTGTCAGAGATGTTTTTTAAATCCCACCCCCCCCCCCTCATTTGTACTCACACTTCAACATTCAACTCTACTGTCAATGATGTTAAACCTCACCCCCCTCATTTCTCCTCTCACCTCACTCATTTCTCCCCACACTTCGAGTTTCAATTCTTTTCTGCGCATTATCTTAAATCACACCCCCTGCATTTGTCCTCACACCTCTCATTTGTACTCACACCTCGACTTTCAACTCTTCTGTCAGAGATGTTTTTTAAATCCCCCCCCCCCCCCCCCTCATGTGTACTCACACTTCGACATTCAACTCTACTCTCAATTATGTTAAATCTCACCCCCACTCATTTGTACTCACACCTCTCAATCATGTTAAATCTCACCCCCACTCATTTGTACTCACACCTCGAATGTCAACTCTTCTCTCAGAGATGTTTTTTGAAATCCCACCCCCCCTCATTTGTACTCACACTTCAACATTCAACTCTACTGTCAAATATGTTAAATCTCACCCCCCTCATTTCTCCTCTCACCTCACTCATTTCTCCCCACACTTCGAGTTTCTATTCTTCTCTCCGGTTTATTTTAAATCACACCCCCCTCATTTGTTCACACACCTGGACCTTCAACTCTTCTCTCAGAGATATTTCTAAATCCCACCCCCCCTCATTTGTACTCACACTTCGACATTCAACTCTACTCTCAATTCCCCTAAATCCCCAATAAGTTTCCTTGACCAGGACACGTGGACGTGCGACAACCCGAACATCATCATGCTGTCCTGCAGGGTTGTGGGTTTCGGGGTTTGGGGATTAGGGGTCCCCAATCCGCGCTTCCAGTTTCCCAGTTTCCGAATCCGCGCGTTCAGTTTCTGAATCCTTTTTTTTTGGTTTCCGAATCCGCGCTTTCAGTTTTCGAATCCGTTTTTTTCGGTTTCTGAATCCGCGCTTCCAAGTTTCCGTATATGTGTTTTCCAGTTTCCGAATCCGCGCTTCCAGTTTCCGAATATGTGTTTTCCAGTTTCTGAATCCGCGCGTCAAGTTTCCGAATCCTGGTTTCCGAATCCGCGCTCGGCAGTTTCCGAATCCGCGTGTTTAGTTTCCGAATCCGCGCTTGCAGTTTCCGAATCCGCGTTTTTCAGTTTGCGAATCCGCGTTTTTAGTTTCCGAATCCGCGCTTTTAGTTTCCGAATCCGCGCGCGACCACCCCGAACCCCCCTTCCCCGGTTTAGACAGGTCCACATCATTTGAAGACTTTTTGCCGCATGCCGTTCACCCACCTCTCAAGCACAATATTCCCTACTGTCTTGGGTCTTGGATTCTTGGGGGTAGCCCTTTGGGCCATGTTGGAGACCCTGTGAGTATGTGCTCGCGAGGAGGTTGACTTGAAGGGAAGCCAATGAGGCCGAAAGTGAAGCTTGCTTAAGGTGCAGAAGACCACAATCCTAAACCCCACCTACAGCTCTGAATCCTAATCTCGGAACGGTCCATCCTCCAAAATTTCTGCAGATTTTGAGGAGTAACTGTTCAGATACAGCCGAGTCTCACCGTCGCATCATATGTGACTCTTGTGAAGGTTGCCAGCATGCAAAGCATGCCTGTCGGTGCAGAAAGCGGGCAATCGGCCAAAAAAGCTTATGTTGGTATATACACATATAAATAGAACAAAACAGGGATAAAGAACAACAATGTAACAATGCATCACTGTAACACTCTAACATTCTGACAATATAGCAGTATAGTTCAAGGATGGAGAATACAACATATATTCATAGAATTGAATAATGATATAGTCTTAGGATAGTCACAGTATAATACTATCACAATATCAACATATACCCATATGATATATACATGTACATATGGTTCTATTTAGTCATATAGTAGTAGAACAATATTATTGTTAAGATAGCTCTACTATATTTTATTGACATAGCAATATGTAATATAGTAGCAACATACTTTCATAACTCAAATACAATGTAAATATAGCTACGAATAGATAATATATCAACATATCATACTAGATCAATATAAGAGTACTAGGACATAGTTCCGAAAAAGAGGGGCAGAGGACACTCGGCTTGGTGCCTAAGGAGAGTCTTTCAGTGTCAGTTGATGAATGATCACGACAGCTCCCTCGCCAGCTTGTGCTGGAAAGTCTTAGGGTTTAGGGTTCAGGGTTCAGGGTTTAGGGTTTAGGGTTTGTGGAGGGTCACCAGGCGTACTCCTGTTGCATCTGTGTGTGAGGCTGGATTGTTGCCATTAGGGGGCGGATAAGTCCGACACATAGGCGTGGGAGTGAGCAGGAGAGGACAGGCAAGAGTTCGGCCGGGAAACGGCCGGAGAAGTGCACAACCTCAACTCTTAAGGCTAGAGCCAACCCCACCCAGCAGCGCTCCCAGCAGCATGCACACTACAACCTGGCACTGTCTTGCAGTTTGTTAACTCAATGGAGCAAACCATACCTTCGTCCCTTGAAACCCTGCCCGCCCTTCGCAGCCGGATCCAAGAGAT